GTTTTTTATATTCCACATATGAGTGAAGTCATAGGGTATCTGTCTTTCTCCACCTGACTTATTTCACTTAGCATAATACCGTTAATACCAAGATCCATCCATGTTGCTGCAAATGGCAAGATTTCATCTCTTTTAATAGCTGAGTAGTATTTCATTGTGTGTATATATATACATCTTTATCCATTCATCCGTTTATGGGCACTTAGGTTTTTTCCATATTTTTGCTACTGTAAATAATGCCTCTATGAACACAGGGGTGCATATATCTTTTTGAATTAGTGTTTTTGTATTCTTTTTTTGCCCAATTCTTAATGAAGTTCTGTCTTCTGACTTTTATGAGTTCTTTATATATTCTACATAAATGCCCTTTGTCAAATATATAGTTTTTGACTTATACTTTCCTTAAGGATGCTTTTAAAAGAAGTCACATTTTTGAAGTTCAATTAATCAATTCCTTTTCTTTTATGGTTTATGATTTTTTTGTATCCTAAGAAATCTCCCAATGTGGCAAATATTTTCTTCCATGTCTTCTTCAAGTTTTATAGTTTTAGCTTTTATATAGGTTTATGACACACTTTGTTTTCATTTTCAAAATTGTTTTGACTTTTAAGTTATAAATTTCCCTCTAAACACTGCTTTAGCGTCATCCCACAAATTTTATTGTTATTTTTTCCATCATCATTCATTCAAATAACTTCTAATTTACTTTGTGACTTCTTTACTTACGGGTTATTTGAAAATGTATAAATTGCCAAATATTTAGGGATTTTTCCAGATGTCTGTTACTGATTTCTAATTTAATTTTTGTTCTGTTCAGAGAATACTCTGTATGTCACTCAAGCTGTTTGATAGCATAGCTCAGGTATTCTGTATCATTAGACTGGTTTTCTGCCTCCTGTTCTATCATTTACTGAGAGAGAAATGCTGACGTCTCTAACCACAGTGCGCATTTATCTATTCATTCTTTTAGTTGTTTCAGTTTTTGCTTCATGTATTTTGAAGGTCTATACTAGGTGCATATATATATAGGATAATTATGTCTTTTTGATGATTTGACCCCCTTATCAGTAAGAAATATCCCTATCTCCAGTAACAGTCCTTGCTCTGAAATCTACTTTGTCAGATATTGATTTAGCCACTCAAGCATTCTCATAATTCATATTTGCATGGTTTTATTCTATTACTTTACTTTTACCTGTTTTGTTGACTGAGACATGTTTTATTTTGAGCATCAGAAGCTGAAAGAGAAAAATTAATATGTCGTATCCAGAGCCACATTTTGCCATTCAGGACCATAATTTTTAACAAGAACTGACATTCCACTTAAGTTCTTACATGTAGAGAGATATGAGGTCTACATTTCTCTCCATCACTCATGTAATAATCCACATTTAGTGATGTGGCAGAAAACAACTTGTACATAATGAGCATGTTTCTTCCTATCCCACTAGAATGTTAGCATTTCTCAAGTCACCAATATTCATGACTTTGACTATTACACTTTCTTATAAATATGGGCACCAACTCTGATAGTAAATAAATGGTTATCAGATGGAGGTACCTCTCTTCCTCTCCGTTTCAAAACAGTGACAGGAAATGAAAAAAGGGAAAACACCTCAGAGTTTGCAGGCTACTGACAGTGCTCCTGACCAGCACAGGAAGGAAGTGACAGTGGGGACACCTGTGCAGTTGTTCGGGCCAGGCTCTCCTTCTTCGGATGGCATGCAAATGGCATGCACAGCCACGCGGAGCGGGTGACTGACAGCACGACAGGGATCATTCCACTCGGGCCAGCAGATCATGGGCTCTAGCTGTTCATCTCTCCCTCCGCCTTTCCTTCTGAAGCCTCATTTTGGATACAAACTAAAATATGTACAGATGGCATGATATGATCTTTGTGGTTTGCTTCTAATTAATCTAGGGGTGGGGGCAAGGTGGGTGGGTGAAACAGGATGGGCGTTAATTGGGACCTGTTGGGGCTGGATCATGGGGGGCGGGTCACCATTCTATTTTTGCATGTATTTGTATTTTTCTATTACAAAGTTTTTTGTTTTTTTTTTAAAGAACCTTCCTCCCTCCATTTTTCTGCCTTGGTATTCTCTAAACAAAAACAAAACAGTGATCATCTCAGCAGAAAGGACTCAACTCTACTCAAGCTGAACTAAGCCAGAAAACGTCTTACAAGTGAATTCTCTATACTAGTTCACTCGATGTGTGTTTATTGGGAAACTACGCTGCACCAAGTCCTCTTCTGTCACCAAGGAGCAGCAGGAGCAGGTATCCTGGGGGGAGGGTTGGGGGCACAGAGTGAGGGTGTGCTGTGGGGTCTGGGGCTCCGTGAGGCCACAGTGTGGCTGGGCTGGGCAACCTGCATCGGGAGACGTGGTCAGCGGCCTTCACACGGGCCTGGCTCACCACCAACCACATCCCAACCACGGTTCACCGTTTCACTGAAGGATGAAGAGGGACCCCACACAATGGGGCCTTGGGGCTCCATCCCAAGGACAGGAATAACCTGGGCCAGGGCCCCTCCACAGCCTGGCAACCAACAGGTGCCGAGCTGCCAGACTGAGGAAGCCAGCTATGCAGGAGGGGGCGGAGGCCAATTCCTGGGGCCCCTCTCCTCCTGAACTCCAGCAGGGTCAGAACTGTCAGCTGCAAAAGGAGCCAGACAGCCCTCTTGGCCACAGGAACCCATGTTCATGCTAGAGGTACTCCCTCCTGATTCTTCCAGCAGGTACTGGGTGCCGCCTCGCCGCCAGGCCCTGAGCTGGGAACCCAGAAAGCAGCATCTGGGCAGACACGGGGGAAGCGGGTGGGGAACAGGGCCCCTTCAGACCACAGGAACAGCCCATGTGAAGGCCTTGGGGCGGGAGCCTGCCTGGTGTGCCGGGCACCAAGGTGGCCAGTGGAACCAGGAGAGCGCAGGTTGCGCGGGGCCACAGCAGGGGTCTGAACAAAGAGCAACATGATCTGCAGACTCATATCTCATCTCAAACACAACGGGAGAGAAAGTCCTCGGATGAAAGACCTGATTTTGCTCGTATTTCCCACAGGCTTCCCTAGCACGGCACCCGATGTGACAACTGCCAGGGAAGCAGGGTTCTCACCACGTTTGGGGGCCAATTACCAAAACTAAGGTGACTGGGGACTTCCAGCTACATTACACAGATTTCTCTGAGGTGTTAGGAAGAAAGTGCCTGAATTAAAATACTGTAATTCACCCTAAGATGTAAATGAATGAAAATGAATGCCAAAGCCCTCCAGAGAAGCCTAAGAAGATGCTTACTCACCAGGCATCTCACTGGTGAAATTTCCGGCAGAATGAATCTCAGGCCATGCTTGGCATCTACGGGGCAGTGTGTCCAGCGTCCAGCACGGACACAGGAAGCAGAGCTCAGGCTCCAGGCCTCTCTAGATCACAGGATCCAGAGGCCCTGAGAAGCTCCCACCCCTGACCTCAGCTGTTCCTGCCCAGGTCCCATCTGACCCAGACCGGAGCTCCTGGGGTAGCTGCGGTCCATCAGGTCTTGTCCCAGATACCCCAGCCCCCCAGGACTCTGCTTACGGGCCCCACCAGGCAGGACAAACTCAGCCGTCACCGAGTTCCCACTTTGGATGTTTAGCAGCCTGGCCTCTGTTCACAACTTTAAAAACATTTAGAAAATTGTTGGATTCCATTGTTATGAAACGTCCAAAAAAGATAAATCAGTAGAGGCAGAAAGTAGACGAGTAGTTCCTGAGGGCTGGGGGAGGGGAGAGAAATGGGAATGACTGCTTAACGGTCCAGGGTTTATTTGGGGGTGATGAACATGTTCTACTTGATCGTGGTGATGGTTGCACAGCTCTGTGAGTATAATAAAAACCTCTGAATTGTAGACTGTAGATGGGAAAAGTGTATGGTATGTGAATTATACCTCAATAGAGCTGCTACCAAACAAAGAAAACAAGAAAGAAGAGATGGGAGAAGCAGACAGCCCCAAGAGCCAGGGCCAGGGAGGTCTGTGAGCCCTGCGAACTAGCTCTGGAATATGAGGCAGGGGCCAGGGCAAGATTGGGGGCAGCTGGGCATAGGGCAGGTGGCCTGGACCCCCCCCCCCCGGGGACTTCCAGCCTGGACCGTGGGGTGTTGGCAGGATCATGCGGTCAGGAGCCAGCTCTCCAAGATTCCGGTGATGGCCTGGGCCCCAGATCCCCCCCTCCCCTAACAAAACCAGAGAGCAGACACAGTAAGGAAAGTCAGCCCCACTCCTGCTGTGCCACCACCAAGCACAGCACACACACTAAGAACCTTCCAGTAAGGACTCGCACCTTCCTGAAATCAGGTGCCTGCATCTGTCATGAACGAATCACCCAGGGTCCACAGCTCTGAGGACTGGAAGAGCCCACACATTCTTGAAGACTGAGCTCTGCATTTTCCAACTGAACATCTTTGTGGCCTGCTGGCAGCAGCTCTTTCCCCACCGGTCACCTGGGACACTGAACTGACGGTGCAACAGGGGCGAGGGGTCCCGGGATGCTCACTGGGATGGCCAGGGGAAGTGTGACCCAGGCGCGACACCCACCGTGGCATCATCCAAAGCTGCTGCAGAAGCAGAGACCCGGGCTCCATCCTCGGTGTGACCCCCGGGGAAGGTCACCTCACCCTGCAGGAGCACCGCAGGGAATGCTCTGGAGAGTGTCCCCAATCTGAAGGGGCCAAAAGCAGAGTTGTCAAGAACTTCACAGGAGAATGAGCAGGGCCTGGTGACACCTGACATGGGCACTGGGGTGACACAGACCAAGGGGAATTCTCAGACTGCTGTCTAAAGCTGGGTGCAACCTTGGACTCAAGTGTTAGCAGTTAATATCCACATCATATAAAGAACTGTCACAACTCAAGAAAGAAAAAGGAAAGCAACTCCAAAGAAAAATGGGCAAAAGAGAGTTTTCTGATGAAAACTGACTATAGCTGATAAACATTTAAAAGATGCTTAAATTTCCAAGTAATCAATAGAATCGATAAGACAAGCTTTATTCACCCAACAGATTAAGAAAAAAACTAAGAAAGGTGAAATCTAATGCTGGTGAAAGTGTGTGGGGGAAGCAGGCCCCCCTGGGGCAGCGGGACAGCATGTGTTAAACTCTGCAACATGCATACTCTGACCCATCGATTCCAGCTGGAGGCCTCCAGTCAGCTCCCAAATGCACAGCAATGAACACAGGCACTCAAGGACATTCACTGCAGCAGGAAATCTACGGAAAACCCAAATGTCCTTCAGAAGAGGAACAATTAGATAAATTATTAAGTAAATTAAACAACGCAGCATCCACAGAATAAGATACTACACAGGTAGAAAAGACTAAGTCGAAGGAGTACGTTAACAATGGGCATCCGGAGGATGGGATTTTAGGAGAAGACTTTCAAATAACTTTGTGTTATGTTAAAATACCAAAAAATCAGACAAAAAAAATTCAAAGCAAACAGGTTGCTGAGTTGACGGTATGGACCCTTTTAGGTAAAATATAAAACCACGTCTCTCTGAGACAAACCTTTGTTCCCGCACCAGCCTGTAGCACAGACAGCTGGCCTCAGCTGCAGGTCGACTTCTGCCCCGGCCCCTCCACCCGCCCTCCAAGTGGCAGCCAAAATGGCAGCCTGAGGAGCCCCTCCATCCCAGGACCAAAGGCAATTCCTGAACAAGGCCTGGCAGCACACGCTGGCCTACCTCTCAGGAACCACGCCCCCCCAACCCCCTGGTCTCAGGTCCCTCTCTCCTCCCCCTCCCCACCCCCCAGTGCCCAGTTAACTCCTGGTCACGCATCAGCAATCCATTTGTGAAGCTCTTTCTGGCCCTTCCCTTCCCAGTTTCCATGGCTCAAGGTTTCATAATACCCCGTGCTGTGCTTCAAAGAGCTCCTCTCTGTTTGAAATTCAGTATTTGTGTGACGTTACATTAATGTCTGTCCCCAGTTCTGAGTGCCACGAAAGCACAGAATCGGCACTGCACCCAAACTCCCCACAGCATCTGCAGCAAAGCTGGGCGCAGTAAGCACTGCGTGGATTAAACACTTAAACACGTGCTTAAATACTATACCAGTTTTTAAACGTTTTTATTTTGGACCTTTCAGATATACACAAAAGCAGAGAGAAGAGTAGACTGTATGCCCACAAAGCGGTCATCCAGCTGCAATAACTTGGCCGCTGACATCTGTCTATCCACCCCCCACACCTTCTTCCTTCTGGTTCTACTCAGGAAAGCTTCAGTACATGCACGGATGCACTTTCACACACACAAGTGCACGTATAGAGGAGCTCTGTGTAGATACTCAGGGGTCATTGGGTACCCGGAACACACAACGAGCCTTCGTCACAGCCACTGTGAGTGCCACCCAGGCCTGTCTGCTCTGGGTCCTGGAGGCTGAGGCTGGACCCTTGGAAGGGCAGCCCCGCAGCTCAGGTGGTAAAGTTATTTGGCCGCAAGCCGAGTATCTCCGAGCACAGCGCGCTGTCACACCCTTCCCGACCTGAACAAACACAAAGAGACGCACCCCATCGAGTCACCTACTTGGCTGAACTGTGTACCTGGTCACCCTCCGGGAAGCTTCCTTCATGGGTATTTTTCTCCCCTACACAAAGCGCACCCACAGAGTAAACGGAGGCCGACGAAAACAGGAAAGCCCGATCTTGCAGGGACTGAGGAGCCAAGGCCCCCAGAACACAGGGCTCAAACTCGAAACTCAGACCCCAGAGAAGACAAACGAGGCCACAGGCTCCGTGTCCACTTGCAAATTAAGAAATACAGTAGGGAGGGTAAACCACAGCTACCAGTAGGAGCTGCTAGCCCTTACAGGTCATGTAATGAAAAAGGACAAATATGTTTATCCTTAGCAGTCACAAGTCATTTCACAGCTGTGACTTTTGGCAGCCACTGCTGTGGAGGCAGCACGGGCTTATGGAACATCTCCATCACCAACTCAGGCAAAAGTCCCTATTCCCAAGGTGCACTGTCTGAAGGAAAAACAAGTTAAAGTAAAAAGATTTTTTTAATAGTCAATATTTAAAAACACATGAAAGGTGGCTGTTAAAAGCCCAATAATAAATTCAGAGATTTATTTGCGCCAGTGCCTTATCCAGATCACAGGGCTGCTTACACTGGACTCCCTCGGCCAGATACACTGAGCGGGAACGCTGCAGAGAAGCCCAGGTTGACAGGGTCTGTGGCCACACTGAACCAGCTCCCTCCTCCCCCAATTGCCACCAAGCCGCATCTCCACCGCCACCCCCCCACCCCTGAGACTGAGAGTGACAGGCACTCAGTACAAGATGGTAATGGGAGGAAGGTGGACCTCAGCCTTCCCGGATTAAGCCAGCATCTGAGAATCTCAGAGGTCTTTGCGTCACTGTGTCTTATATTTCAGGAAAAAAATGAATTTAGAAAAGTCATCTTCTACGCAGATGCCAAATCATTTTCACAAGCGGCGAGTTTTCACTGCAGCACCATCCTCCTGAACCGAGCCACCTTGGGATGCCTCTCAGTTCCCTGGGCGTAGGCACCCCCCAGGCTGCAGAGCCTGCCCTCAACCTCTGGCCAATGCCCATTTCAGTAAACGGAGAAAACCCACCCCTGATTTAGCCTGAACAATAAGGGTAAAAGAAAGCATGCAAAGATGGGGTGTCAATGCTTAAAGTTAAAGATTTTGGCTATTGAGTTACTGCTGTTCCTAGTAAGATCCCAAAGACAAAGCAAATAAGGGACAATGAGGTCAGTGGTCAGGAGCTAAGCTTCTGGGCCCAAGATCTCGAGTCAAAAGCTGGTTCTGTCTCACTGACCAATGACCTTGGAGAGCAGTTACTCCACCTCACTCCAGCCTGTCAGTAAAAATGGTGATGATGATCACACCTAGCTCACGAGGATGTCGTGAAGATTGAAAGAGTACATACGAAGTACTATGTTTGTGAAGCACTTGAGAAATATTAACAACTATTTATATTAGCCTTTGATGATTTTAAATTTGTTTTAAAAATGTGAATGAAAACACCAAGTTTACTTATAAACTAACTTAGGATAATTCATTATTGCTACTTCATTTAAAAAATTAATTTGTTATTTACATTGATCTGACTGGAGCTATGACATCTTTCTGGGACACAGCTCAGATAGTCAATAAAAGAAAAAGTTCCTCAGATAACTGTGCAGCCTCTGGTAAAATACCTACTCTCCTTAATCTTGCCTTAATCTTGTCAACTCTAAAACAGAATTAACAACGAGTCTACTCTGAAGAATGGTGAGGCCTTCCCTGGTAGAGCAGTGGTTAAGAATCCGCCTGCCAATGCAAGGGACACGGGTTCAAGTGTACTGTAGAGCAACTTAGCCCGCAAGCCACAACTACTGAGCCCGCGTGCCATAACTTCTGAAGCCCAAGCACGCAGAGCCCGTGCTCCGCAACAAGAGGAGCCACCGCAATGAGAAGCCCATGCACCGCAACCAAGAGTAGCCCCCGCTCGCCGCAACTAGAGAAAGCCCATGCGCAGCAATGAAGACCCAATGCAGCCCAAAATAAATAAATGAATTTTAATTAAAAAAAAGAATGGTGATGAGAATAAAAGTCCTTTCTCCCTCTCACGCACAGCAAATATATGATTCACTGAAAACATCTGCGGTGTATTGAGAGAAGGCAGGCCCCCTGCAGAGCTCCACAGGCCCAGGACCCTCCCGGGAGATCCCTAGGATCTTGGATCCACACGGCTAAACTCAGAGTCAGCTCCTCCACGCACAGAAATGGAGGCACCCAGGTGATCACCAGGTTATTACACCATGGAAGAGCTTAGTGGCCCAGTCCCAAGCCTGTATTTTAAAGCTGGTCTTGCCAAGGCCATTCAGACACATACCCATGCTCAGTTTCCCTGCCACCAGCACGCTGTCACCAGGCGGCCTCCGTCTTGCCCTGCAACTGGAGAAATCCCACTCCATGCTCATCTGCCTCTTTTCTGGGAGCTTAATGTGGATGACAGCCAAACCTGCACCTCTGCTTGGGTGCTCTATTTTTAGCTTAACCTGTATTTCCAGTGTATTTCACACTGCAGCAGTTCAGCTGGATCCTGAGCATCTAGAACACTGGAAGGTGCTCAGTCCGACATTATGAGGTGGGTACTGCCACACCCATTTGCGTGTGAAGAGGCAAGCTTCCTAAGGTTAAGTGATCTGCCATTCTGCTTGGCTAGTAAACTATTAGGCATTTCCACTGGGATGTCCCCAGGGCCCCATGCACCATTCCCGCCATCCTCCACTTCCCAGCCCACTGCCCGCACGTCAGCTGTTTTCCTGCACTCACCATGCCCACTCTGCTCCCCACCACCACTGCCCAGGTTGTTTCCACTTGTCACCAGCTCTTCCTGCAACAGCCTACAAGCTCCTCTCTTTACAGCTATTCACCAAGATGCACCCAGCACAAGCCGCGCCAAGCCAAATCCAAACAAGCGCTCCTCTGCATAAGGCCCTGCAATGGCTCCCCATCCTCTAGAGACTAAAACTCAAGTTCAACCTCCCATTTCAGACTTCAGCACCTAGTTCTAGTTCATCTAGTTTTACACTCCAGCATCTGTTTCTAGGGCTCTGAGCACATCCCAAATGGCCCGGCCTTCCTGCTGATGTGCCTTCTGTGCCTCAGATACCCACACTGCCTGGGAATTCTGGTTTCCCTGAAGCTCAGGCCTACGTCTTCCAGGAAGCTCTCCTTGCCCCCAGCTCAGGCGCAGGTAGGAACACCTGTAATGCTCCACACTACATGGATAAAGATATAATCATCTCCTCTGTTCAACTACAAACACCTTGGGGGCAGAGAGTAGGTCTTTTCTTATCTTTATTGCTGAGTGCCTGGCACGAGGTCTGCACTCATATACACTCAGATGTCCCAATGACTCAGTCCCCCTGATTTTCCAGACCCAGACGTCATCCTAGGCTCAGCTGTGACGGGGGCCCAGTGAAGCCTGTCTATTATCATCTCCAAAATCTCCCTGAAATTCTGCTTCTATCTGCATCTCCATGGCACTTCCAGGCTCAGGCCTCATCGCTGCCGGGACTATGAGATTGGCTTCCTTCCTCCAACATCCCCTATGTACAATTACACTTCCTATCTGCTTCCTGCCAGAGTTACACTACTGAAACACACATCTGACGTGAGTTCCAGGCCTAAGGACCCTCCGCAGAATTCCCGCCCGAAGGAGCTTTCAAGACCCTGCACATCCTCTCCCCACGTCCCCGTCCAGGCCCAGCTATTGCCTCCCACATGCCCAACGCTGGTCTGGAGGCCACTCCGATGCCCTGATGGGTGCACACCAAGCCCACCCCCAAGGCTCAGTTCGGAGGTCAGCCCCGGGTGAAACCTGCGCTGACACCACCACCTCCTCCACGCAGGACTCACGCCTGCCCCCACCCTGACCTCTACTGCGCCACCAACACCGCTCGCAACACCGCCAGGCCAGGGCCATTCCGGCCCTCGCCAACCCACAGGTGAGCCAGGCTGGGGCCTGGTTCATCGGTTAGACGCTCACGCGCCGACAGTCGGCTGACCTGGCGCTAAGGCCGACGATGGTCAGCCTCAGGATCTCGAGAGCGGCGCTAGCCCCGCGCCGTGCAGGTGTCTCTCCCGCACCAGCCGCCGCAAGACTCACCACAGCCGCCCGCGCCTCTAGCTCCACGGCGCCCCGCTGCCTTGGACGATCCCCACGCACGCCCCACGCACAGGCCGCGCATGTCACGCACGCTGCGCTCATGCGCAGCCCCCTCTCTGGCACATACCCGGGCCCTGCGGCGGTAGCGGCGTCAAGGCCGCTGAGGCGTGTCCCTCAGCCCCGGGCTCGCGGGTCCGGATCTCCTGCACCTCCCCCGCGGAGCGGCGCGGCGCCCCTGGTGGTGTGGACTCGAGCGCACCGTGAATTCTGGCCGCAGCCTCGGCTCCCTGAGGGCCCCGCGCGTGGCCTCCTCTGCGCTGTTTCTCGGCTGAGAAGGGTCTTGGTGGCTCCTCACAGACATGTGGTGAGGTCAGTACGGGGCTGATCAGCTGTGGACGGGCTGGGGTGGGGGAGGGGGCGGCCCTCCGCGAGCATTTTGGTGTCATTATTACTGGTTTTATTACTGTGTGTAGCAGGATGTTCAGTGGGCCTTTTCCTGTTATCCTGCGATTTACGAGCGGGGCACAGAGGCAGCCAGAGGCATTCAGCGGCCCGCCTGGGAAAGGCCCGGAGCCTGTCCCAGGGCTGCCGAGCACACCCTCTCTAAGGGGAGGTGGGAGGTGGGGGATGGCAGGAAGAGTCCATGTCTCACTGTGGTGGTGGAATTCACCAGAGAGGGTGAGTGTTACTTCTGTAAATCATACCTCAGGAAACCTGGAGAAAATTAACTTTGAAAAACCCCATTAAGAAAATGAAGGGGGGGCTTCCCTGGTGGCACAGTGGTTGAGAGTCCGCCTGCCGATGCAGGGGACACGGGTTTGCGCCCCGGTCCGGGAGGATCCCACATGCCGTGGAGCGGCTGGGCCCATGGGCCATGGCCGCTGAGCCTGCGCGTCCAGAGCCTATGCTCCACAACGGGAGAGGCCACAACAGTGAGAGGCTCGCGTACCGCAAAAAAAAAAAAAAGAAAAGAAAATGAAGGGGGCTTCCGTGGTGGCGCAGTGGTTGAGAATCTGCCTGCCAATGCAGAGGACACGGGTTCGAGCTCTGGTCTGGGAAGGTCCCACATGCCGCGGAGCAACTAGGCCCGTGAGCCACACTACTGAGCCTGCGCGGCTGGAGCTTGTGCTCCGCAACAAAAGAGGCCGCGACAGTGAGAGGCCCGCGGACCGCGATGAAGAGTGGCCACCGCTCGCCGCAGCTAGAGAAAGCCCTCGCACAGAAACGAAGACCCAACACAGCCAAAAATAAATAAATTAATAAATAAAATTTTTTAAAAAAATGAAGGGCAGGCCACAGATTGGGAGGAAATCAAAACTCATACCTGATAAAGGTCTTGTATCTAAAATACGTAAAGAACTCCCCCAACCCTGTAATGAATCTACAGAACAGATACTTCACCAGAAAAGGAAGGATGCTCCATCATCATCTGTCATTAGGGAGACACAAAGCCACAGCAAGCCACCACTGGGCCACGCACATCCTCTCATCCTCTCAAATGGCCCAAATTAAGAAGACTGACAACAGTAAGTGTGGACGACGATGCAGAGCAACTGAAATTCTCATGCCTTGCTGGCACTGGACCTCCTCTGGACGTAATGGGTCCGTCCCTTGAGGTGCTTAGCCAATGAACACACCAGGTACTTTCCATTAAAGCAGAAGCATTTCTTACTTGTGATGAGTACCAGACAGGAAGATAGCTCTCCAGGGGAGTTTCAAGCGTGGAGCATGCATATTCAAGAGAGGCTAGGCATGATCATTATAATAAGGCAAAGGTTCCTCTAGGTTGCCAAAAACTGCAAGCAAGTAGGTAGGTGCCTGGTTGGTTGTTCACACTGTGGTATCTTGTTGACTGGAAGGCACTGTAACCTTTTTGGAACATCTGGTGTCTGGAACTTTCTGCAACTTAATCCTTAGTTTTTGCGAAACAAAGCACACTTTGGTTTAACCCCATCCTGTTCCTACAGAGCTATCACTCTGTGCCTGTTCCGTCTGCGTTAATTTTATCACCCACTTTTGCAGTCTTTGGGTTTAATTTCCCAAGGGCCAGCTACGGTAGGCAGAACTTTCATGGTGACCTCCAAAGATTCCTTTTCCCCAGCCATTCAGTCAAATGCTGCTCTTTGCATAGCTGTGAAAGCCTTTGCAGGTGGAATGAGGGTTATAATCATCTGACCGTAAATGAGACAACTCATCATGGATTACCTGGGTCGGCGCAGTAGAATTACATGAGCCCTTAGAAGCACAGCAGAAGTAGCTATCAGAGACCTGGTGGGAGGGACGAGGCAGACAGGGTCAGAGAGCCAAAGTGTGAGAAGTACTTGGCCTGCCATTTCGAGTTTTGAGGGAACAATGAGGCAGGGAATGCAGGCAGCCTCTGGAAACTGAGAATGACCTCTAGTTGACAGCCATCAAGGAAACAGATCCCATTCCTGCACCTATGTTGGGGGAATTCCTTGGCGGTCCGGTCGTTAGGACTCCATACTTCCACTGCAGGGGGCATGGGTTCGATCCCTGGTTGGGGAACTAAGATCCTGCAAGCCTCATGGCACGGCCAAAAAAAACAAAAACAAACTATGTTGGAACTGAATTTTGCCAGCAACTCGAGTGAGTGTGGAAGCTTCCAGAAGAGAATGTTACCCTGCTCACATCTTGACTTTGGCCCTGTGAAACCTGACGTTGAGAACTAGCCACGCCTTTTGAGTGTCCACACTGTTTCCAAATGTCTGATGTCTTCATCTGGACCTCCAATTATTATGATTCGTTTTATTGTGATACTTTTCTATTAATTTCACACATATCCCCTGCAGTTATAATAAGAGTTTATTTTATATACTGGAGGTTTGTGCATATTTTCATTCTTTTGTTCAGCAAACATTTATTGGGGTTACCCAGGTGGCTCTTTGCTGGACCCTGATGTTATAAAGGTGAATAGTCATGTTCTTGTGGACTTAAAGGGGGGGCAGAATAGTGTTAAAACAAAAGAAAACATTCAACTGAGTAAATTTTAAAGATCTTATTGGCTTTATTCAATGATTCATGAACTGGGCAGCATCTCATCTAGCAAATAGAAAGGACCTCCAAAGAGCTGTACAAAATGAAAGTTTTATAGACAGAAGGAGGTGGGACAAGGAAGTTACTCTAGCAAAGAGCTGATTGTTTCAGGCAAGGTCACCTTCCTTTAGGGGAGTGTAGGGGCCTGTAGAGTGAATTACTTCACTAGTAATAATCAGTTAATTCCAGATTGATTGGCTTAAGATTCCATTTGTGGGAGAGGTTGACACTGTAATTAAGTTAGTTATTAAGTCTAG